CCAGCCAATCCCAGCTCCAAACATTCCCCAAAAACAGAAACCAAACCTGGAAACCATTCCCACAAACCCACACGCGTCTTGCCAAGAGGGCTTTTCCCTGCTGCTGCTCCGGGTGGAGCGACCACCCTGGAATCCTCCAGGGATCCCCGGAATCCTCGGATCCCTGGAATCCTCCTGAGACCCCTGGAATCCTCCTGGGACCCCTGGAATCCTCCTGGGACCCTTGGAATCCTCCTGGAATCCTCTTCAGATCCCTGGAATCCCCCTCAGATCCCCGGAATCCTCCTGGAATCCCTGGAATCCTCTTTGAATCCCTGGAATCCTTTTCGGATCCCTGGAATCCCCCTCGGATCCCTGGAATCCTCTTCGGATCCCTGGAATCCCCCTCGGATCCCTGGAATCCTCTCTGGATCCCCGGAATCCCCCTCAGATCCCGTGCACAGGACCGGCTCGGAAAAGCCGTTCTTTATTTTTAATTTCTTTTTTAAGCTTTTTTTTTTTTCTCTCTCTTTTTTTTTTTTTTTTTTTTTTCTTTCGTTTTTATTTTAATTTTTATTTTTCTCTGGTTGCTGGTAAAGTCCGAACGCTCCCAGCTGTGCTATATGGAACTCCAGCTCTAGGATGATCTCCGAGGTGTGGAGACCTGAACAGTGATCAAGGCACTACCCCCACCCCCCTCCTGAAGAATCAAAAAACAAAAACAGCAATTCAGACCAACACCTCAGGGGACAGAAGAGAATCCTATAATGTGATCACACGGTTACACGGAATCTTTATGGCAAAGAGAACATTGAGCAGCTTTCAACCTTTGGGCTTCTCCCTTTTTCTTTTTTTTTTTTTTTTGGTGTTTTTCTTTTTAAAGGTATTTTTTTTAGGGTTTTTTTAAGGTATTTTTTAGGAGTTTTTTTAGGGGTTTTTTAGGGGTTTTTAGGGGTTTTTTTAAGGTATTTTTTAGGGGTTTTTTTAGGTTTTTTGGGGGTTTTTTTTAGGTTTTATGGGGTTTTTTGGGTTTTTTTTTTTACTTAACACAAGCACTTCTAGACCCTAAAAGGCAGTGAAGGGCAAAAATAAAATAAAATCGAGGTTGAAATCGATTTTCCCCCCCCGCCATGAAATGATGGGATGGGGACGCTCGAGGTGACACCGCGAGGTCGCCGCCCTTCCCGACCCCAAATTCCTCCCCGAATTCCCAGGAAATTGAGCTTTTCCCGGGGGATCCTTGAGAATCCCGCTTTTCCCAAAGCTCCGTGGATTTCCCTGCTCGTTGTCCTTTCTTTTTTAATTTTTTTAAAATTTTTTAAATTTTCCTTTCCGGGATGGTTTTGTCGCCTTTTTTTCCTCCCCATCCGAGGTTTGAGTTTCCTCGGGCGGGAAGGGGTTAATGAAAGTTGCTTTTTTTTTGTGTCTCTTCACTTTTTTTTTGTGTCTTTCCATTTTTTTTTGTGTCTTTCCACTTTTTTTTTGTGTCTCTCCACGTGTGCCCTGCTGTGATCTCGGGTGCTCGAGGAAGGAGAAATCCGGAATCTCTCGACGGCGCCAAAAACGGGGTCGGGATAAAAGGAAAAAAAAAAAATAAAACAAAAAATAAAAAATAATAAAAAGGGGAAAAAAAAAAATAAAAACAAAACCAAAAAAGAACCAGGAAAAAAAAAAAAGGAAAAAAATAAAATAAAAACCAACTACCTGAAATCACAGAACTTTGGAAGTTCAGAAAAACGTCTCTCCTATAACTCGAAGTCCCTTCGCTTAAATCTCTTTTTTTGTTGTTGTTGTTTTCTCGGGATTTTTTTTTTGTGGGGTTTTTTTTGTTTTTTTTTTTTTTTTCTTTTTGTTTTATCCACCTCGTGCCAACCTCCCCAGCAGCGATGCCAGCTCGTCCCTGCTCTCCCAGCACCTCGGGGCTGGGCAGTGGCAGCTGGGCTCGGAGGGGGGCGAAGGCTCCATCCCCCCCTTTATTTTTATTTTCGGGACGGCCGCTCCCGCAGAGTCCCCGGCGGCGGCGGCGCCGCTTCGAGAAGACAGAATCGGATAAGAAGGCATCAAAGTTCCCTCCGCAAGCGCTTCCAGGCTCGGCCCTCATCCCAGCTCTCCCTTCCGCCGCCGCCTTCACTTCCTCCTGTCCTTCTGCTTGCGCTCCTGGCGCCGCGGCTGCGGCTCGGCGGGCGCGGGCGCGCGGGGGATCAGCAGCACGCTGCCGTCGCTGCCGTACTGCAGCGCGTAGCGGCTCGGCGAGTAGGGCCGGCCCTGCTCGTCCCGCAGCCGCCCGAACACCTCCTGGTACAGGCTCTGCACCTTCTGCTTCATCTGCCGGATGGATTTCAGGAATTCCACCTTCTCCCTGAGCAGTTTGGATTTGTCGCGTTGCAGCTCCTCCACGTCGCGCTCCAGGTTGAGGATGGTGTCCAGCTTCCTCTTGCGGCAGTTCTGCGCTGCCATCTTGTTCTTGCCGCGCCGGCGGATGTCGCGGATGAGGCTGAGCTGCGCCTCGCTCAGCTGGTACTTGGAGAGGAGCTCGTTGAACTCCTCCACGGGCAGGTTGATGATCTTGTCGTTGGTGAAGGGGATCTTCATGGCCCTGGCGCGGTGCTCGTCGCGGCTCAGCTGCTTGTCCAGCAGCTCCGAGGGTTTCTCCTTGCCGCTCTTCTTGCCGGCGCCGGGCGCTTTGGGCTCCTCGGGGTCCAGGGCGGCCGGGGCCATGTTGTAGGTGTGGTTGTGGCCGACGTGCTCCAGGTAAGGCAGGTAATGGAGCTGCGCCGGGTCCTGGTAGCTCATGCGGCAGAACTTGCTGTACTCTGGCTGGTAGCCAACCGCCCCTTCCGCTTCCTCAAAGTCCACGTTCTCCGAGTCCGAGCTGTAGCCCACGGCGCCTTCCTCGGAAAACGAGGAGGAGGAAGAGGACGAAGAGGACGAGGACGATGAGGACGAGGCTTCGGAGCTGCTCAGGGACGCGGGGCTGTGGCCGGAATCCAGGGAAAGACCTGAGTCGGAATCGAACTCCTCTTCCAGCTGCGAGGCCTGCACGGGGTTGAAGCCCTCCTCGATGGCCAAGTCCATCAGGCTGATCTCATCCAGCATGGCCTCGTCCAGGAGCCCTCCCAGGGGGTCGGGCAGCTCGGGCCCGGCCGTCTCGTTGCCCGTGCCGTTCATCTGGGGCGGGAAGAAGATCCCGCTCAGGTTGGTGGAGCCGAAGGTGCTGTTGAGGCCGGTGGAGTTGTCGGGCGCCAGCTGCAGCAGGGCCGAGCCGCCCGCCATGGAGGGGCTCTCCATGTCCGAGCTGAAGAGGGAGAAGTCCTGGGAGCAGCCCCCCAGCGAGGCCTGATGCAGGCTGACGTTCTGGTTGATGGGCGTGCCGGGGGCCAGGCTGTAGTTGGACGCCAGCAGGTCGCCGCCGGTGCCGCCGTAGAGGCTCTCGGCGCCGGTGCCGTTCACCTCCATGGCCTGCAAGAGACGCGGGCACGGCTCGCCGGGAGAGCGCCGGGAGCCGCCCGGCGGCACCGAGCCCTTCCCGCCCCTCCCGGAGCTCACCTGCATCTCCATGATGGACATCAGGTCCTGCCACTGCTGCTCCAGGTCGAAGGGGGACTCGGTCTCGGCCAGGAGAGGGGACAGCAGGCTGGGGGGGCCGCCCGGAGCCCGGCTCTGCCCCGGCACGGCCTCGCTCAGGGCGGAGACATCCGCAGCTGGGAACTGAGCACGCCAGGGAATCAGGGCTGGCAGCTCGGGAACGCGCTGGGATTCACTGGGGAGGCTCAGGGATGTTCTGGGATGTTCTGGGATGCTCAGGGATGGATGCTCAGGAACATTCAGGGATGCTCAGGGACACTTAGGGATTCACTGGGATGCCTCAGGGATGTTCTGGGATGCTCAGGGATGGATGCTCAGGAATTCTCAAGGATTCTCAGGGATGCTCAGGGACATTCAGGGATGCTCAGGGACACTTGGGGACACTCAGGGATGGACACTCAGAGATCAGGGATGCTCAGGGACACTTGGGGACACTCAGGGATGGACACTCAGAGATGCACAGGGACATTCAGGGATGCTCAGGGATGGACACTCAGAGATGCACAGGGACATTCAGGAACGTTCAGGGATGTTCACGGATGCTCAGGAACGCTCGAGGATTCTCAGGGATGCAGCCACCCCCCAGCCCAGCGCCCTTCCCACCCGCTTTGCCGAGAACTAACGAGGAGCAGAGCCAGGAGGCTTTAATTAATCGCAGCCGCCCCTCCCCGGGCGGTTTCTCAGGATGCCTGGAGCCTCCCGGAGCAGCCAAACCCAATTTGCTGCTGTGGGAGAAGCACGGGAGGCACCGAAACGCCAGCGAGCGAGGCAGGGGGAGCCTCGGGATGCACCCCTGGGGCTCACCTCGGAATTGTCCCCGAAAGGGAAGGTGGCCTCCAGCAGCCTAAGGCACTCCTCCAGGGACAGCGCTGTCTGATCCTCCGCACCGGGCACCTGCGGGGACAGGAAAGGCACGGGATGGGAACGGGAGCCGCGGGCTTTGGGAGGTGCTGCTGAGGAATCAGCTCCCTTCCAGCAGGGCTCGAGCACAGCGCATCCAAAAAAGAGCCAGAGCCCCACCCAGTGCTCCTTTGCTGGCTCCATCCTCCCGCTCCGGGCGACGGGAAAGCGCCAACGCCGCCGCTCCCGGCCAGCCTCCTGTCCCCTCCTGTCCCCTCCTGTCCCCTCCGGCCACGCAGGCCAGGGGGACTCTGCGGCTGCCACGGGGACACAGCTGGCCCTGCCCAAATCCTGCTGCCCACCTGGGCAAACCCTGCTGCTGCTGCTGCTGCTGCTGCTGCTGCTGCTGCTGCTGGAACAGCCCCCGCACAGGCAC